GTTTCTACACTCTGCCGTCCACCATCATGAACCATCCTGTGCATCACAGTCTGAAGGCAGCGTATTCCTTCTATAACGTACACACCACCACCACCCTGCTGGACCTGATGGGAGACGCTCTTATCCTTGCCAAGTCGGTCAGTCAGTGAAAGTGTTGATTTTCATTATCAATTGAATTGATTAATTAGCCATAATATGAGTTTACTTAGCTATAGTTTTGGTGTAAATTTATCCCTAGAAGTGAACTACAGTTTTCCTCATTTGGAAAAGCCTTTCAAAAATGAATTAATGTTATTCTAGCAGTGAAGCAAACCTGCTTTTATTTAGACTAACACCTGACTAACATCAGTTTGAAGTGGTTAACGGGCAGGAATTGGAACATTAAACTATGAGCAGTTTATTAAAGCTTTTCTTGTGCCATTCCCCCTTCAGAAAGGATTTGATGTCTTTAATGCACTGGACCTAATGGAGAACAAGACATTTTTGGAGAAGCTCAAGTTTGGCATTGGAGATGGAAACCTGCAGTATTACCTCTACAATTGGAAATGTCCCAGCATGGGGTCAGAAAAGGTACAGGTTTTCAGATGTCATACACACGATAGTCCTTTTCAGTCAGAGTCAAGTGAAATTCATTGACTTGTACTCTAAGTTAGCATTGACGTTGCTACGTTCATACACTAGGTGGCCATAGTGCTTCACAATCTGGCTCCCAAAGCACCTAGGTGTCACTTTGTATGGTTTTCCATTGTAATTATTTTTATTTTTTATTTAATAATTTATTGAGCATTTTATTTCTTTATTTTAATTCAATGTGTAAAAATCCTTGAAGTTCAATATACAGTTTACTGAGCTGCTATAATAATAATAATAATTATTATTTTTTAGGTGGGTTTGGTTCTACAGTGACCTATTCCACCATCCATAATCTATGTCTCGCATGACAGCGAGGCTGATTTATGACATCACGCACTGACCACCTGACAGATGCTACCAATGGACTTCCTGCTTCAGGAAGGAGAATTCACCGCCCATTTTTAAGTTTCAACTTTGACCTTTTGGACCTGCACTACTTATTTCTCTCTCTCTCTCTCTTTCTTTTTCCCTCTCTTCTTATTCTCTCTCTGCGCATGGACCTAAAGCCATTGTAATTACCATCATCAGAGATGAGGAACCTTAATCTGTTATGATTGTTA